CTTGAGAACATACTCAACATCAGCAGTGATCAGGGAAATGCAATCAAACCACAATCAGATATCACTACACACCCGTCAGAATGACTAATATCAAAAAGACAAGGAATAATAAATGTTGGCGAGGATGCAGGGAAAGTGAACTTGTGCACTGTTGGTAGGAACATAAATTGGTGCAACCACTGTGGAAAACAGTATGGAGGTTCCTCAAAAAATTAAATATAGAATTACCATATGATCCAGCAATCTCACTTCTGGGTATTTATCCAAAGAAAATGAAAACACTACACGAAAAGATATCTGCACCCCTATGTTCATCACAATGTTATTTATAACAGATAAGATATGGAGACAACCTAAATGTACATTGACATTTCAATGGATAAAGAAAATGTGGTGCGTGTATTCCACATGATGGAATACTATTCAGCCATAAAAGAGAATGACATCTTGCCATTTGCGACAATAGGAATGCACCTTGAGGATGCTATGCTAAGTGAGGTAAGTCAGACAGAGAAAGACAAGTACTGCATGGTCTCACCTATAGGTAGAATCTAAAAAACAACCCCCCCCCAAAAAAGCAAAAAACCAGGCTCATGGATACAGAGAACAGATTGGTGGTTGCCAGAGGGGGTGGGGGGATGGATAATTGGAAATTTGTATCTTTTGACTCCAGTTATAAAATAAGTAAGTCCTGGGGGAGTAATATACAGTTTGGTGACTATATTAATAACACTATATTGCATATTTGAAGGTTGCTAAGAGAGTAGATCTTAAGGGTCCTCATCACAAGAAAAAAATTTTGTAACTACATATGGATATTAACTAGATTTTACTGTGGTGATCATTTTGCAACATATGTGAACATCAAATCATTATATTGTATACCTCAAACTAATGTGATGTTGTATGTTAATTATATGGAAGGAAGGAAGGAACGAAGGAAGGAAGGAAGGAAAGAGGGAAAAGAAAAGCACCCATAATACCAAGAATTAGGTAAGCCACAATTTGAATGAGAAAAGATAACAACTGACACCAGTATTAAGATGATTTAGATATTGGAATTATTTGACAAAAATTTTCAAGTGGTCATTATAAAAATACTCTAACAAGTAGTTATAAATTCTCTTAAAACAAATGAAAAAACAGAAAACCTCCATAAAAAAATAGAAGTTATACAAAAGAAACAAATGGGAATGATAGAACTGAAAAATACAATGACCAAAATAATAACCATATACATAATACCATGAAAAAAATCATAGATATGATAAAATGAATACATCAAGGTCAAGAGCAATATGCGTAGAGTCATATTAAATGTTTACTGTGTGCCAGGTGCTGTTTCAAACATTTTCCTTGTATTAATTCATTTAATCTTCACAATAGTCCTATGAAGTAGATATTATTATCCTTATTTAAAAAAAAAATTTTTTTTTAGAGAGAGTGCACATGGGGGTTGGCGTGGGGCAGGGGGAGAGGGAGAGACAGAATTGGGGCTCAGTCTCACAACCCTGAGATCATGACCTGAGCCAAAATCAAGAGTTGGATGCTTAACCGACTGAGCCATTCAGGTGCCCCAATATTATTATCCTTATTAATAGATGAGGAAATGGAGACACAGAGAGGTTGAATGACCTGCCTAAGATCACACAGCTTACTAGTGGCAGAGCCAGGCAGGCTGTTCCAGTGTCTCTGCCCTTATCCACATGTAGTATTGCATAGTATTATGCTGCCTCTTTGAGAGAATTAAATTTATTTCAGTGAGAAATCTCAATGCGCCAGCTCTGCCAGGGCTGCTAAAAAAGTCTTTTTTAAAAAAAAAATTTTTTTTTTAAAAAGTCTTATAACTGGTCACTCTGTCTCCTTTCCCATCTCCTTGTACAATCCAGTGGTAGCAGGGTTGCCAGGAGGATCTCCATTTAAAATACAAATTAGAAATACCATATGATCCAGTAATTCCACTGCTGGGTATTTACCCAAAGAAAAGGAAAACACTAATTTGAGAAGATACATGCACTCTTATGTTTATTGCAGCATTACTTACAATAGCCAAGATACGGAAGGGAGCCAAGTGTCCAGTGATAGATGAATAGATAAAGAAGATGTGGTATACATACACAATGGATAATATTACTCAGCTATACAGAAGGATGAGATCATGTCATTTGTGACAACATGGATGGACCTAGAGGGTTATTATGCTAAGTGAAATAAGTCAGATAGAGAAAGAAATATCATATGATTTCACTTATATGTGGAATCTAAAAAACAAAACAAATGAATAAACAAACAGAAGGCAGAATCAGACCTACAAATACAGAGAACAAACTGGTGATTGCTAAAGAAAAGGGGTGGGAGGGATGGGCACAATGGGTGAAGGAGAGTGGGAGGTACAGGCTTCCAGTTATGGAATGAATGAGTCACATGGATAAAAGGTACAGCAATAGGAAATATAGTTGATGTATTGTAATAACATTGGATGATAACAGATGGGAGCTACACTTGTGGTGAGCATAGCAGGATGTATAGAGTTGTTGAAATCACTGTGTTGTACGACCGAAACGAATGTAATAGGCCATGTCAACTATACTCAAATTTTAAAAAATTATAATAAAAATAATCAGATTGCTTCACTCCGCAGCTTGAGTCTCTCCAGTGGCTCCCTGTCACACTCGGAATAACATCTCACCTCCTTGCCAAGACTTAGAGGTCCCACTTGTATGTTCAGATTCCACTCCTCCCACTCTTCTTCTCATTCACCAACCTCCACCTTCAGACTTCCTTGCTGTTCTTTGAACTCATCCCTGCCTTGGGCCCTTTGCACTTGCTTTTTCCTCTGCCTGGAATATTTGTTCCCCCAGATTTTCATTTGGCTGGCTCTATTTCTCACCTTTCTGCTCAAAACGCATCTTGTCAAAGAGGCCTTCCCATGACTCCATTTTATCATCTTCAGATTAATCTTGCTATTGTTCCGTTTTTTTTGTTTTGTTTTGTTTTGTTTTTTAAAGATTTTATTTATTTGACAGAGAGAGAGACATAGTGACAGCAGGAACACAAGCAGGGGGAGTGGGAGAGGGAGAAGCAGGCTTCCCGCCGAGCAGGGAGCCCGATGTAGGACTCGATTCCAGGACCGTGGGATCATGACCTGAGCCGAAGGCAGACGCTTAACGACTGAGCCACCCAGGCGCCCTATTGTTCCGTTTTTATTGTCTTACATCTTCCCCACTAAAACTGACAAGAGGGGAGGCCTTGTTTGTCTTGTTTACTGCTTCATCACCAGTAACTAGAACAGGGCCTGACTTATTGTAGGAACTCAAATATTTGTTGAATGAACAAATAAATGAATGGATGAGTTATACAGATTTCATTACCTGAAAACTAAAGAAATGAAGTTTTTGTTTTGAGATCTAACTTAAAAACAATTTTTTAAAGATTGTATTTATTTATTTGACAGAGAGAGAGAGAGAGAGAGAGTGTGAGCACACACACAGCAGGGGGAGGGGCAGAGGGAGAAGCAGACTCCCCACTGAGCAGGGAGCCTGATATGGGGATTGATCCCAGGACCCTGGGATCATGACCTGAGCTGAAGGCAGACGCTTAACGACTGAGCCACTCAGGTGCCCCTGTCACCCTAGTTCTTATCTGTGTCCCCCTGAAACCCTCCTCTTCCTTGCTGAGGATAAAACCTACTTTTTTTCCCGACAAAGACCACTTCCAGACCCTCTCTCTGTGACATCGACCCAGAGACCTCAGGACATTCACAGCCTCTTACAGCTGCTGAGTACCAGCCTTGTCATGCTGCGGGGCTCTCCAAACTGCCTGCTGGGTGCTCTGGGGCAAAGAGATGCTGGCTCTAGCCTTTCAGGGGAGTACAGGTCAGCAAGCGAGAGAATACATTTGCACAAGGAGAGTTCTAACCCCAACTGAAATAAGTCTCCTATCTGTTTGTTCCCTTCCTTAACTTCTCTGTTTTTGTTGATGTAATTTTTCCCTCTTTGTGATTGATCAATGAATAAGACATTTAAGAGGAAGAGCTGGTTGGAAGAAGAACATAATGACTTTACTTGAGGTTAAGTTTGAGGTTTCAGTGGGACAGGCTGGGCTGAGTCAACCAACCGAGGACCCTGCCTTGGAGAGGGCTTTCTGATCTGCCTCCTTTTTGATTCAGGCACTCATCAGAATGACCACGGCAGGCTTTGGAACCATCTCTGGGCTGAATCTCTCCTTCCCAATCTAGTCGGGGGTGGCTTTGGAGTGACATTTTATATAGATTCTATCTATTGGTAGCATAAATTGAAATAAGGAAGTCAAGAGGCAGAGATGATTTGGAGGGAGATTAAAAATTTAGATTTCTACATACTAAGTAAGAAGCACCAATGGGTCATGTAAGTGAAAATATCCAGTAGACAGCCTGAGAGGAATGACTGGGAGGTAGGACAGAAAGGGCCATTGGAAAATGCCTTAGGAGGAGTCGCCGTCCATGGGGGTGTGGTGATAGGTGAAAGATAAAGAAGGATGAGATATCCTGGGACCAAAGGATAGGAAAAGAGCCATTGGTTGAGTCTCAGGAAAATGCCTACACTTAAGGGGAGGGAAGCAATAAGGAGACCAAGAAGGTGTCACTCTGGGGAAGAAATTGGATGAAGCAGTCTTAAGAGCTAAAGGAAGTTTCAAGAAAGAAGTGGCCAATTCTGTCATATTTTATAGAGAAGTTGAGAAGAACGAATGAAAAATGGCTTTGGCAATTGAGATGATAATTATAATGAAAAGTATCCAAGAAAATGAGCTGGAAATGCCCTTCTCTGGCCTATGATGGTGCCAGAGACTGATTTACTGCCCACATCAAAGTCATGTTGACATGATGTGTGTGTTTCCATCCTTAAGAAGGATTAGTAGCAGAATAGCCAAAAAAGCCAGTTAGATTCAACTAAAATATGAATGCTTCTCATATTAATCAGACTGTGACTTATGACCAAAATACCTAAATGACAGATACTAACCTGTGATACCTTTTTTCACCCAAAAGGTAACAATACTGGGCATAGAAGAAAGAACTTTTCTTGATACAGATTCCATCATAATGATATCTGAAAAATAAAGGTTTTCTTAAAGATGATGTCAAACCACCGACATGCTTTACAGAAGCCACAGAATAGACTAGCTAATGAAGATCTGATTTTTTATCTGAGTTTTATCTATGACGCCATTTATTAGCTCTGTTGGGTAGATAGTTTCATACTATTTCATACACATTAGCTTTGAAACGGGCTCACAAATGTTCTACTCTGCTTTCCCAACTAAGGACACTCCAGTCTTAGAGAGATGTGACAAGGAAAGCCTCCTGCTGCCTCCGCTGTGAACCTTTTTAAGGTGAAGGGGAGCGACACCCATGTTCCCTCTACAGAAAACCAGACTCGGGTTCTCACAAACCCAAGAAGGAAGTTGGTTCCCGCTCTGCAGCCCAGGCACTTTGCTGAGCTGGGAAAATGCAGCTGCTTGTCTAGGCTCACAGCAGCAGGGCAAAATTTTTTCAAATGAACTTTTACCCAATGTTTAGTTTGGCAAACGCTTTAGCTGTCTTCATTCCCTTGTGGGTAGCAGGCCCCTTTCCTAATTTGGCTTCCATCCCTTCTCACTGATTTTCTGATTTCATGGATTTCTCCTGATTTTTCTTTATTTAAAAGAAATAACAAGTAACAATAGTAATTGAATGACAATTATAGCACGATGCACCTGATAACACTGGAATTTCCTTTTGCTTTAAAAATACATAGAGCCTGGGTACCTGGTCTCTGGAAAATAATTCAAATATGCTAATTAGTGAATACTTAGAAATTTTAGTTCAAAGAATAATTAAAACAGTTCTATAACTCTGTGTGTGTAATTATTTTAAGTATTTCAACGGACATCTACATGTCTAGACATTTAAAGTGTTGAAACAAGAAAACACTGTGACTTTCATATTTTAACAAAATCACTAAGTAGAAACTAATATTTGGTTCTAGTATCACCCAAATTATTCCAGGCACTAGGATTTCATTTGAATTATGGGAACTCTTTGGTAGCACTGATATTTCTAGTTTGTTTAGTTTTGCATTTTGGTGTCACCCATTTTGTGATTTTTCAAAATGTTTGTTTATTCTAACATTTCAAATAGAACAAAAATGATAAACCTACCTGGCACTTCCTCTCGTGCCTAGCCTCCGGGTGCCAAGATCAGGAAAAGCCAAACGTACAAGCTAAAAGAATAAACCAGATTTAAAGCTGCAATTGGAAAATTTAGAAATGAAACTTATAGTTTCACCTCTTATAATGTTTCAGTTGTATTTCCCCTTTTTTTATTATAAAGAAAATACACGTAAATGAAATTTGGAAGAAATCAAGACAAGTATAGGGACAAAAATATACCATTCAGAGGAAACCACCATTTAAACCTCAGTGTGGTTCCTTCCAGCCTTTTTTTTAAAGATTTATTTTAGAGAGAGAACACATGCGTGGGGAGGGGAGGGGCAGAGGGAGAGGGAAAAGGAACAAAGCAGACTCCCCACTGAGTGTGGAGCCCATCACAGGGCTAGATCTCAGGATCCTGAGATAAGGGCCTGAGCTGAAACCAAGAGTCGGTCTCTTAACTGACTGGGCCACCCAGGCGCCTCGCAGCGTTTTTTTCAAGCCTCAATATGTGTATGGATTCTGTGGGTATACATAGGAAACAACTGGTGTCACACAATTAGTATGTGTGCAGTTTTGCTTTCGACTTTCTCCCCTCCACAGTGTACCATAAACATTTCCCCTTGTCATTAAGAATTCTCTAAAAACAAGGGATTATTAATAGCTGCAAAAGAGTCCATCATGTGAGCTGCCATAATTTCACTATTTTCCTCTTTTTCCAATGTGATAGTCATTTTCACTTTTTATTATTCATTTGTTTACCTAGTTTTTTCATTTTAAAGGTTTTGGTAGCAAGTGCTATTAAAATATTGAACAACATAACTACTTCCGACTCAACTTCTCATCTCCCAGATATGTTTTTCATGTGTTTTGTTAACGCTAACATATTTACGACTAATTACATTAAAAAAAAAATAGAAGCCTGTTCCAGCTTCCTAATTAGAAGAGGTTCGTGATATGCATGGTATCCAAGTACATGTCTATTGAAAGTGGAAATCCTGGAGCCTGGTGGAATTAGAAAAATACAGAGCATGGAAGGCACGGTGTTTTAAGCAGTCAAGTAACGATTTCCACTATTTTTCTCTAGTCCCCTCCATAATCATTCAGCTTCTGCTTTTGCTTGGTTTCTTGTTACATCCCTCTTTCTTTTTTCCCTTTTTTTTAAAAAAAAGATTTTATTTATTTATTTGAGAGAGCATGAGAGATAGCAGGAGTGGGGGGAGGAGCAGAGAGAGAGGGAGAAGCAAACTCACTTCTGAGCAGGGAACCTGATGCAGGGCTCCATCCCAGGACTCTGAAATCATGACCTCAGGCATTTAGCTAAAATTGGGTTTTTTAAAACTCTACTAAGTCCTCAACTCAAATCACTCATGATTTGAGCTGAAGGTAGATAGTTAACTGACTGAGCCACCTAGGCATTCCCCCTGTCCTTCTTTTTTTCTTAACTTCTAAGCAGCAGGATTTGACAGTGTTGTGTAATGTTTCTCTTGTCTGGTTCCAGGCCCTACCTCTTCCTACGGGAAGCCACCCAAGCCCGGGTGTAGAGGAAGAAAAATGAAGGAACAGGAAAGGCAAGTCTTGCACAATTAAACATCAAGGTTATGAGGCTAAATTGAGAGGTTCCTTCAGGGAAGGGGTCCAAAATGTACAGATGAAGAATAAATGATAAAAGAAAAAGTCAGCAAGTCTAAAAATGCAGAATTAGAAGCCAGCAATTCCTACTTTCAACCACAGATTCTGAAAATTCCATCACCTCTAAAGAAAATCACTTAAAACCTTCCCTCTATATCTAGTTGTAAAATAGTAGGTACCTAAAAGAATTATTATAAACTATGAAGCAGGCTCAGATTCAAGGCCCTGGGAAATAATCTGGTGTTTTGGAGGGAGAAGCAGAAATAAATTGCCCAGTTGTCTGGCAGCATAATAATCTGCACATTTTATTTTATTGAGTAATTCTAACCCCAGACTATCCTGTGATTTCATTTTATGATCAGGTACACCACAGTTAAACTTAAAAACCAACTGAGATGATTATTTCCAAAAAATGTAATAAGTAAGAAATGTATATATTTAATATATGGACAGCTCACATAAATTAATGGGAAAACAACAATACCCCAATAGAAAGTGGTCTGGTGATAATATGTATACACACAAGATACATATGACCAAAACACATGCAAAAGTGCTTACCTGCCCTAATCATCCAATAAGTACAAGTTGAAACAGCTAAATATAGTTCTTAACCAACAAATTTTCTAGGTCAAAAATATTAGGGATTTGGTTAAGAATATCAGGAACTACCATGAGCTGTGTATTGGTTACAATGGTCTAGAGTCCCTCCTGGGAAAGTTATCACGTACAGATGGAGACTTATGGTAGAATAAACATTATAAACAACCGAAATTTCCAATAAGGGAAATGGTTAAATGAATTCTGGAACACCCAAAAAGTGTTTGGCACCATTTTACAACATTTATTTTAAAATATTTTAGTGTGAAAATGTTTATGATATTCTAAGTTTAGATAAATCGGCATGTGATTATAAAAGTTAATTATTTCTTGAGTGTTTCCTATGTGCCAGGACCACTCAATTTTTTTATATGCATTCTCTCATTAATTTCTTAAAAGCATCTCATAAGGTAGGTACTGTTATTAACGTTATGAATCGTTTCATTTTACAGTTGATGATGTCGAGGCACAAAAAGATGAAATAACTTGCCCAGGGTTACAACCTAATTAGTTGGATTCCAGGCTTAGTGTTGTTAAAAAGTATACCATATTGCAAAATCAACAACACAAGAAACAACAAGTATTGGCGAGGACGTGGAGAAAAAGGAACCCTCGTGCATTCTGGGTAGGAATGCAAACTGGTATAGCCACTGTGGAAAACAGTATGGAGGTTCCTCAGAAAGTTAAAAATAGAACTACCCTATGATCCAGTAATCACACTACCGGGTATTTACCAAAAAAATTAAAAAAAAAACCCCACGAATTTAAAGGGATATATGCACCCCTCTGTTTATTGCAGCATTATTTACAATAGCCAAACTATGGGAGTAACCCAATAATGGAATATTATTCAGCGACAGAAAAAGAATGAAATCTTGCCAATTGCAATGACTTGGATGGAGTTAGAAAGTATAATGCTAAGCAAAATAAGTCAGAGAAAGACAAATACCATATGTGGAATTTAAGAAACAAAACAAACACGCGCAGGAAAAAGAGAGGCAGACAGACAATACAAGAAACAGACTCGTAACTGTAGAGAACAAACTGATGGTTACCAGAGGGGAGGTGGGTAGGGGAATGGGGAAAATAGGGAATGAGAATTAAAGAGTATACTTATTATGATGAAAAAAAAGATAAAAAAAATACCATATTGCATGCTGTCTGCCTATCCACCTGTCCATTCACCTCTCGGTCCACCTATCCATACATCAATCTTTCAATCCGTTCATCCACATAATATCTATCCAACAGGATGAGACATGAACACAACAGACAACAGATAGCAAAGTGAATTGTGAGACACACATCTTAGGGGACTTGTACCCTCAGGCATTTAGCTAAAATTGTTTTTTTTTAAAACTCTAATAAGTCTTCAACTCAAATCACTCATGATGGAATAGAGAGAGGAGGAGGTCTAAGGGGATTTCTTGTGGCAAGATGACCTTTTATTTGTGAAGGGTTGTGGGACAGAGTGTGGCTCAATCAGCTCAGGCCTAGCAGAGGAGGATTCACAGATTCACTTGAATTCTTTTTTTTTTTTTTAAAGATTTTATTTATTCATTTGAGAGAGAATGAGATAGAGAGAGAGCATGAGAGGGGGGAAGGTCAGAGGGAGAAGCAGACTCCCTGCCGAGCAGGGAGCCCGATGTGGGACTCGATCCCGGGACTCCAGGATCATGACCTGAGCTGAAGGCAGTCGCTTAACCAACTGAGCCACCCAGGTGCCCCTCACTTGAATTCTTTGTGAGGCCCCTGGAGTTAGTGTCTGGCTATGGCATAGGACTCCTGATAGATTATAGACAGGCTGGCCAGTGCACTTGGTGGCAGAGGAGAGTGGTTACCACCCTGGTTTCAGCCAGCACACCCATACTCTGTTTAGGCCAAGAAAGGCTGAGTAGTTCCTATGGCCAGAAGTTGTCTACATGTGAGAAAGAGTTGACATGTGGGAGAGCCTGGACTCTGCCCAGCAAAAGGCCCCCAGAATGGACAGTCAGGCTGCACAAAGAGCCATTCACCAACACAAGGAATGCATACTAGAACATTCCAAAGGGCTGCTCTGAAGAAGCCACCAAAGGGACCAGGAAACAAGAGTCTGCCTGGCTCCCAAAATGTAAAGCTGAGCAGTAGGAACTTTCCAACCATTTTTACTTCCCCTGCTTCCAGAGGGGTCAAACTAACGCCCAGCAAGTTTTGGGGAGGAGGGATAGAGAGGGAAGAAGAAGCCTCCATGCCTAGTTTTTTGTAGGCAAGAAGCCATCCTGGAGGAGATAAGAAAACGATTTTAAACCCAATTCAGTTTTGATGTTATATGGAACTGGACATTCTAAGCATCAGACTGATACCATGTGGTAAATTAAGAGTGACAACAGGGCTTTGTATCACCTGAAGACTAGAGGGGTCACACTTCGTGCTCACGTGCTCATTCAGGAGTGGAGGAATAACCACCCAATGAGCAGATTCAAAGCACCATGGGAAATGAAGATGAAGTCACTGTGTGATTAGTCCCTTAGCTCCTGCTGGTCATGTGTGTGTGCATGTGTGTGCAAACGTGCAAATAAACTATATGCGTGTGGCTATAGCTCTGGACAGTGAGGCTATAGCCAGTATTTATTCTCCTCTTTTTATAGTTTTCTCTAATTTTTACACTTTCTATAAAGGGATTGTAATACTTTTATAATCAGAAAAACATCAGTAAATGTTATTTTTAAAAAGGAAGTCAGTGTTATGGAAATTCCCTAATCCATGTGAGATATTACTTGCACCAAGAATGAGCACTACCCATCATATGCCCAGAGCTGCCAAAAAGAGCAAGAAACATTCCGACATCTGCACAGGAACT